CTGTGGAGAAAAAATGCCAAAATGATTGCAATCGATTCTTTTCTTTGAATAATATATTTAGCGGTGCATCACTGAAACCTGATCCTTAGTGTTTGCTGAATTTACGAACATTTTCCATTGAAGCCAGTCAGCTATTTGATACAATCGATGAGCACGCCCCGCGAGAGCACATATCGCTGGTGTAATTTTACTTATTTTTCACTCACATTCACTACTGTACACCTTTGTTACGTATGTTGTGTTGAATCTCTCAGACCTATCGATTTTCTTGACTCCTGCAACGGTCATTGAATACGGCACGTACTCAGCCCATGAGTATTAATCGCTCACAAATCATGTAACAGTGAGCATGCACCTCGACGACCGTTATGATGTAGAGCGCAAGGGGTTGCACGTGTCTGCCGCGAAGGTCGAGCGGAGGGCGTGGAAGCAGGTGGCTATTGATCAAGCCACGAGTATTGTGGATTCTGCCGCCCAGGCTGGCGAGAGGTGAAAACCTATGCCAAGGCCGTACACGTCTCGGCAGCACACGTATTTACAGCGAAGTTATGACCTCCAATATTTAGAAAACAGTTAATACTCTTTCCTGATTACCATTGTAATGATGTGCATTGATATCAATCGCAGTAAAAAATTAGGTCGCAATTAAAATATATGAGCAGAAGATGGTTGATTGATTATATCGCGTTTCCGTCAAGTGTGATAGTCATCACCCCAATAGGTGTAGTGCATGTTTTATTGCTGAAGGTGGCGAAGTTCTTTCCTCGCTAAAAGGTAATTTCCGTCGTCAATCTAAACGTCACCTTACGGAGATTTCTACGACCAGGTATATTCCACCAGCGAGGCACCGCCGCAACCCGGACAAGCTCTAAGTTTCTGACATGTGTGGTGGCGTAGGGCATGTAGTAAAAACTACCATCAGAGAAGCCGGCCGCTAGAATTCTTTTTTTTTTCTTCATTTACTTCTCTCGTTAGACCTGCGGTCTATGAATTTCAGTTTTACATGCTGAATTTTTTGGGATTTGGGCATTCCTTGACAAATTGAGGTTAAATACTCTGTCTCGATTAATACATTCGTTTTCTTCTAGAAGTTACTGGAATCAATTCTTGACATTTTAGTAGGATTGCAGTGTCGAGCAGTAGGAAGGGAAACGGGAAAGATTCTACAGAGATACGGGAAGATATTATTGCGGGATGAGATGAGGGAAGGCAAGAATAGAAATTATTTCCTACTTTTTTTTTACATGTTACAGCACTGCATCCATTTGGAGTTCTCTGTGAATTTGATGGTTAGGTGTTAACCATGGGGTTTTAATTGATTTCCTAAGGACTTTCTTTTGGACTATTTGATTTTTTTGTATAGTGGTTTTCTTCCACACAGCAGCTGAATTCTTCCTAGCTATCTAGTGTCGAAATTCTACCACCGTCCGAATCTGTCCTATGACCTTCCGGTCAGAGGCACTGCGGTGATTCAGTTGAAGTCCCGAGTCACCTAAGCCTATTCAGGAGAAGAGAACAAAAAATGGTTGTTAGTGAAATTCAACCTTCATAAATCTTCGAAGCCCAGATTCTCAGAGCAAAGACGAAATACTTTGACCACATAATGACACAAGATTCTCCGAAGAAGAATACGATTCTCGGTAAGAGGACGAGAGGTCAACAGAAGATGTGCATTAATGGCATCACATGGGTAACTACCAAACGTTTGGAAAATCTTAGAGGCCCAGCAAAGGACTTGAAGGCTAAGAGATAGGTAGTTCATGAGGTCATGAAGAATTGGAAATTATAGAATGAATACTAAAGATATCAAGAAAGTATAGAAAAGTATATAAGTTATCTTGCCATAAATATAGTGTGTACTATCGGTTTTCGAATACGAAAATACATTGTTTTGTATATTTTACTACTGTATTTTTCGTACTATTATATATTAGCAGCGATTTTCAATTCTCTGGGGGATGTTCTTTTTCTTCACCGTCGGTAAATATCGATTAAGAGTGACTCAAAACTTAATCCGCTATGGCCAGCCACGCCGGATTAGGGGAAAACCTAATTATATATTGATCATATTGATCATTACGATCATTTCTAAACCGATTGTCAATTAACATTCAATAAATAGTATTGTAGTTGAACTAGATCAAGATATCATCTTCTTTTAATGGTAATATGAAATATCCCTCGGAGTATTAGGTTTCGGAAAATCTATTTCATTCCCATTAGAATGAAAGCTAAGTGCTTAACATTCCATTTTGAAATAAATATATTGAAACATGACACTTTAAAATCTACGGACTAATGGATTTATTTAATTTACATGTTGTTAAAAGAGTAATTTATTACATAACTGCTTAGTTGAAGGAAATAATAACTTTGTTTGGTACCTAAGCAAATTGTCATACTATACCATTCTCCCCCACAAAATTCGGCGTGGTTCCGAGATATTTTTGAAAGTATTGCCCAATAATAATTCTAACAACACAACATGTATATTAATGTAAACTATAACATACCGAGTCACAAAACACATGTCGATTCTTTCCAGTTTTCACTGTAATCATTTAAGTGTATAATTTCCTTCTTGTAAGCAGCCTGTACTTCGCTGAATTTCTCGGGGATTAAAAGGGGAAGGCTTCTTCGGACGCTACCTCCAATTAAAGCCGTTGACCACTCTCTCCTGCGGCAACTTAAGCGGCGAGCCACGATTCGCGACCCAAATACGGAAAAAGGAGTTTCAGAATTCTAGAAACGTGTTCGTTGTTCGCACCCTATCCTCCCTCTCTCTTTCTTTCCCCCTTCTCTCTCTCTCTCATTCGAAACGACTTTGCTTTGAAATATCACTCCGACGAGGTATATTTCGTCGACAAGCTCCGATTAAGGCGATTAAGATCGCTTTATACGTGTTCTGTCGGGGGGTAAAAGCCCCGTATGAAACATTTCCCGTTTCCCGTCTCATCTCCCTTCACTCCGCATGAAACAAGAGTAGAAGAGAATTACAAAAGGGCAAATGAGCTACTACAAGTTTAGTTACTTAAAACAGTCGCCAGCGGGCAGAATGGAACGTCCTTTCTAATTGTGGAGCCCGCCGCTTCTCATCTGCCATGGCGGCGCGTGGCGAGATGAGACGAGGTGAGGTGGGGCTGGCGAGATGGGCGGCCAGGGGAAGGTGAGGAGGAAGTGGGGAACGGGGTGGAAGGGTCAGGGTGCTCCAGCGGAGAATCGTCACAGGAAAAGGCTGCCGCGTTCTTTCTCGCCTCAATCTAAAACTTACTGTTGGTCACAAAGGGGGAATTCAGAGCATGAGGAAAGATGTGTAGCTTTATAATTTCGCCCTAAGCTATTAAGAGGAAATTAGAGTACACGGAAGTACTTTCAAGGGACACATAATCAATTCATCATTTGTTCTCTGTAGCTATTGTAGCTTAATAACCGTCATTGACATTGCAAGAGCTTAGTCTTGCATCGATTAAAAAATAGTTGAATTTATCACAGCATTATGAAAGAAGAAAACGCAATTCATGAAAACATTGGATTGTTATTCACACTTGCTGAATGCCTATTACAAACATTTATTAAATTTCCTTATGGAATAAGAATTATTACGAGAGAATATAACCTATTTAAAAGTCCTCTGTCTTGCTTAAGCTAATTCTTAAAGCGTGCCCATTTTACTCGTAGTGTTCTACTCATCAATCAATTTATATTATTCAAAGGCGTTTTATACCTTGCGGTTACTGAAAGGTGGTTGAAGCAAGTGTTATAAAAAGCACCGCATGAACCAGGCTTTTGTCGGAGCAAAAGATGTTAGAATTGTCCGGCGCTCCAAAGCAGTTTCATTGCGCTATTTCTCATGGTTTTATGGCTCAGTCGGATCTCGCACCCTGAACAAATGCAGCCGAGTATATTGTTCTCGGGTTGTAAGCCTCGGATTCAACGGCTGAACACGCAACACCAACTCCATCCGTGATTTGAAGACACCACGGAGCTCGAAGGGGAAGGAGGCCAGAGGCCACGGAAAGGAGGGAGCGAGGAGAGGCTGAAAAAAGGGTGAAGATAGGGTGAGACACGAGAGCTGCGGGCGCCTGGAGGAGGCAACGACGAGGTCCATCCCTTCCCGATCATTCTTCACATTAATATTAAAACTCCAGGCGGTAGATAAATATTCCATTCGCGCGGTCCCCGACGAGTACCTTACTTCGGAAAACGTACAGGTATGTTGCGGGCGGCCGCAAAAGGGCCGGGAGGTAACGGAGGTCTGGGTCGGTTAGGCGAGAAGCGGGTAAGCAGAGAGGAAGATTACGACTGCCGCGGAGAGTGGGAATAGCACGTTGGTGTGTGTGTGTGTGTGTGGGGGGGGG